TTTGTTTATGTTTTTTAAATCTATTAATTTATTTCTTCCATGAAAGAGAGGGGAAAAAAAAAAAAAAAAACAGAGAGAAACAAGGTCCCCATGCCACGATCCACCCCCAGCTTCAGTCAGGCTGGTGTGTGCAGGAGGCCTCAGGACATAAGACTGGGACCTTCCCATATGGGTCCAGTTGTGTTAGTGTCATGCCATGGTCCAGTCCCTAAAGAGGTTTTAACTCTATTTATTACTGTGCTAATTACTTGAGAGAATTCTTTATTGGTGGGGTTTTCCCCTTTGGCTAGAATATCACTAAACCACCATGCTGACTGCCAGGAAACTTGAGGATGGCATCCACAGCCACATCCACCCACTTCTCCTCCATGGCCAGCTCACCACAGTCAAACCAGAAGCACCCAGGAGTCAGTCACCATTCTCCCCAAGCTGACAAGGATTAAGCAATGACCATCACAGTTGTATTATCAATTCGTTAAGATGTTGGAGCCAGGGGCTAGCAGGTGGCATGGTGGTTAAAGTGCTAGGCATACATGGCTGACCACAGCTCGAGTCCTGAACCTAGTGACTTGCTTTCTCACTTCCATCTCTCTCTGGTCAAATTAAAATAAACAAATTAATAAGTAAAATAAATAATTCTTAAAAAAAAAAAGATATTGGAACCAGGGGCCAACAGATAGTGTAATGGTTACATCACTGCACTCCCACGTATGGTTTGAGTCCCGAATCCAGCAGCTTCAAACTCATGCCAGGCACATGTGCATGCATGCCCAAAATCCCAAGAAGAGAAGAGAAGGGATTATGGCATGGCTATCCCCACTGGGGGAGGGGGGGTGATTTATCACTTTCTGTCTCTCTCTGTCTCTCTAGCAAGTGCATAAGCCTTATAGCAAAAATCTCTCTAAAAAAGAAAGACCTTGGAGCCAGACATCCTGAACGTGAAACTGGGCTCTTCCTTACTACCTAGGTAACTGAACAGGTTACTTCCTCTTTCCACACCGTGGTTTTTCCACTTTACCTCTCTGTGCTTTGGCTGCCATTCCAAGTGGTAACTATTTTTATGGAAGTGTTTTAAATATGAAATGCGTTAACATAAGTAAATTGTATAGAAAAGTTCCTGATACACTTTTTGGGGTTCTTAATAAATTGTTAACATTTTATTTTCATCATCGTTAACATTTTATTTTCATCATTATTAACATTATCATCCTCATGGTACACCCACGCATACAAAATGAATTGTCAGGGCTGGCAGGTGGTGTGGTGGCTAAGGTGCTAGACTCCCACATGGCCAACTGGTTTGAGTCCTGGACCTGATGGCTTGTTTCTCTCTCTCATCAATTTAAAAAATAGGGGCCAGCAGGTGATTAAAGATGCTGGACTCCCACGTGGCTGACTGCGGTTCGAATCTTGGACCTGGCAGCTTTGCTTTCTCATTTTCTCTCTCTCTGTCTTTCTCTGGTTAAATCAAAACAAATAATAATAATTCATAAAGTTAAATAAAGTAATTCTTTAAAAAATTTAAAAATAATAAATAAAATTAAATAAATAATTCTTTAAAAAAAGGAAAGAAAGTGAATTATCAAGGCTGGCAGATGGCATAGTGGTCAAGGCACTGGACTACCACATGGCTGACGGCAGTTCTTTTTGGTTTTGTTTTTTGAGAGCTTTTTGCTATAGGGCACATGTGCTTGCCAGAGAGACAGAAGGACAGAAAGTGAGAAATCACCCCCTGGGGAGATGGCCATACTGCAATCCCTTCTCCTTCATTCTCCTCTCAGGATTTTGGGCACATGCCTGGCGTGAGTTTTAAGCCACAGGGTCCAGGACTTGAATCACGGTCAACTATGTCGGAGTCCAATGGAGTAACCACTTCACCATCTGCTGGCTCCAAACTGAAGGCAGTGGCAGTCCTGGAGCTGAGGCTTGCTTCTTCACTTTCCCTTTCTGTCTCTGGTCAAATTTTAATAAAAATAAATTAAAAAGAAAAAGAAAGTGAATTGTCTGAGGTTAGATACCCAGAACATAGTGAAGTCTGCCTCCTCACTAATCCAGAAAGATAACAGCTAACCAGGGGCCTGGTCTTACACAGCCTCCCCACCCACCCATGCCCGCGGAACCCTCTGTCCCCCTTCTCCGTTCCTCCATTACCCTTCCCCAGCACAGGCTGATTCTCCTTTCCCTAAGCCTTGATTGGCTGGCCTGTCTATGCAGCTCCATTTGCCACCAAACCATGCACATCCTTGCCGTTACTGGTGGCTGCATCCTGGGGGACAGTACCCTCACCCCACTGTGGCTGTGACACTCTTCAAGACCAAGGCTCCGCCACATGACTTGGTTGTCACCACAGTGCCATTACAGAAGTAAGAGTAAGCCCGAAGGTTCCCAGAGAGTGAGTGTACCCTGGGCAGAGAGGACAGCCCTGGGCAAGGAGCAGGGAGGCCATGTCCACTTGGTGATACTCGGCCTCCTGCAGAGCCGGACTTGGGGTTGGTTCCCTTTGGGGAACAGAGTGGCTCTAGGGAAAAGGAGGCAAAGCTATCCGTAGTTCAAGCATTTGAAGACAAATTAAGAAAACCTCAACTCACCTGGGGCCTGGCTTTCAGAAAGACATTGGTCACTCCCTTTGCTCCCGGGTACCTCTCTGGAGGAAGAACAGGGTCCTGAGAAGGGTGAGCTGGGAAGGCAAAAGGGGCCGTAAGTGAGGCATCCCCTTGGCAGGGGGCTCCCTAAGCTGGATTCCTACACAGCTCTGCAGGACATCTCCACGCTTCCGGGGACACAGCTGGGTGAAAGGGAGTGGAGAGGCAGCCTCCGGCCTGCCCGCATCAGAGAAGTGCCCTTGCACACAGCTCTAGGTAACCCCACCTGTCCACAGGCCATGGCAGACTGCACATAGCTGCGCTGTGACCACAGTCTGGCCACTCCAGGGGAGCGTTCTCTACTATGCTTTTTGGAAACATAAACGTGGAGAAGTCCTTCCAGGAACTTTAAAACCACGCTGTGGGCATGAGGCAGGTTCACAAATACAGAACAGGCTCAAGGCAAGAAGAGGGAGAAGAGGCTTTGTGGGGAAGAAATGACGCCTCTGCCTCACCCTTAGGAATCCAGCTCAGAGGCCAGCTCTTCTCAGCAGCCCTGTGTTCCCAAGTGCTGGTAAGTGTCAGCAGCCACTCTGAGAGCTCTTCTGACACAGGGCTTTATATCACACTGTCCATAAAGCCTCAGAGCAAACGAAAAGCAAGCCATGAAAGCAGTTAAGGCCAACCACAAAAAGGAGGAAGGAGGCAAGCAGCACGGGGTAGCACAGGTCAGCACTTCTGGCATTTTAATGGGCCTGTGGTCTCTGAGGGTCTTGTTAAATTCTGGTTCAAGACTGGTTAACAGCAGGGCAGGGCGGTGCATGTCTGTAATCCCAGCCACGTAGGAGGAAGACAGTTCAAAGGCTAGCCTAGGCGCCATAGTGAGGTCCTGTCTCTCAAAAGTAAAGAAAGAAGGAGCCAGCCAGTTGGCATGGTGGTTATGGTGCTGCGTCCTACGTGACCGACTGCACAGTTCTCTCACTTTCTCTCTTTCTGTCTCTGGAGAGTGCACATACCCTGTAGCAAATTTAAAACAAAACAAACAGAAAAGATAAGAAAAGAAAGAAAGAGGGTCAGCAGGTGGTGTGGAGGTTAAGGGAGCTGATTCGCACGTCTGACTGCATGGTTCAAGTCCTGGACCTGGCAGCTTGAAAATCATGCTGGGCACACGTGTGTGCATGCTCAAAATTCCAAGAGGAGAAGGGTTTGTGGTGTGGCCATCCTCCTGGTTGGGGTAGGGGGTGATTTCTCTCTCTCTAACTCTCTAGTGAGTATGCAAATGCTATAGCAAAAGCTGAAAAAGGAAAGAAAGAGGGCCAGCCCGTATTTAGGGGAGCTGGATCCCACATGGCTGACCTGGTGGTTCAAACTGTAGCTCAGTGGCTTGGAAAAGATGCCAGGTGCATGTGCTCCAAATCCCAAAAGGATGGAGAAATGGAGGAGAAGGGATTGTGGCATGACCACTCCCCATCGGGAGGGTGCTTCCTCCCTCTGACTCTCTCTCTGTTTCTGGAGAGTACACACACCCTCTGGCAAATTTTTAAAAAAGAAAGAAAAAGACTTGTGAAGGCTCTGGCTCAGTGGGCATGGGGCAGGACCTTAGAGTCGTATTTTTAGAGAGCTTCCAGGTGGTGCCATGCTGCTGGTCCCCCCGCCACACTGAGTAGCAAGGAGCAAGAAGGAAATACAAGGAGGTGGAAGGCCCAGGGATCTGGCCCACTTCTGCCAACCTTGATCATATGTGTACTAGAAAAGGAACAGTTGGGGCCAGCAGGTGACGTAATGTTTAAGGTGTTGAACTCCTACATGGTTGACTGCAGTTCAAGTCCCGGACCTGGCGGTTTGAAACTCACAGCAGGCACATGAGTGCCCAAAATCCTCAGCTGAATCTGAAGGACAGGACATTCTAAACTCAGGAATGGCCTAAAACCTGGGTCACCTCACCTTCCTGGCTCCCAGCAACACTAGGTGAGAGGGACTGCCTGGACACGCTCACCATGTACACTGCTGGCCTTGTACACAGATGAGCTGGACCAGGTGCGAGAACCTCACTCCTCACTAGTGGAGCCATTAAGGAGGTAGGTGACAAGGCTCCAAATGGCTTACTGTCCTCTTCCCCGACAGAGCCCTTCCCTCTGAGGCTTGTTCTGCCGGCCTCTGCCTGCCACAGTGGGAGGAGACAGGTCCTTCCTGCCCTGCGCACTCTCCTTGGGCAGTTCAGCTCTCCCTTCTCTGCTCTGGCCTTCGGACCAGGCTTCCGTGGCCATTCCGTCCACCACAGCCTCCTCTGTCTCTGGATGCTGACACTTCAGCCTCCTGGTTCTGGGAGATTAGGGCTCGCCCCTTCTAGGGTCCTTCAAGGCCGGGGCCTAACTCCCTAGGAGAGCTGCTAGCCCTCTGCACGCTTGGGAGCCAAACCTGATGCCGCGGAGTCCATGGCTGGGGCCAAGGGGCGGCGTGCATCCTTCAGGTCCAATTCTTTGTCCTTTCGCTGCAGCCCTGCTTTCCTCCCGAGCTTACAGGGGCCGCCCGGGTGACACGAGGCATTCCTACTGGGCAAGGCGAGCCCCCTGCTGAGCCGTAGAGCCCAGAAACCCGGCTCTCAAACCCGGAACCGCGCCTGCGCGGAGCAGCTATCAGAGCACGGCTCTTCCCGCGCTCCAGGGCGCACTCTCGGACCTCTAGGAAGCCCGGCCTGCCCCCCTGGCTCCGCTCCGCGGCCCTTCTCATCGGAACTAGTGTTTGGAACCCAGTCACCACGCAGATCCACACCCACAGTGTGTTCACATCACCAGGACACTCGGCCGCAGCAACACTTGCACCCCCGTGCCCACCGTTCTTCTGCTGCCCAGAGACAGCAGGGATTCCGGTGACAGCAACACGGGCACAGGGGCCGGCCCTGCCGACTCGACCCCCTATATCCCCAACAACCAGCTCCAGCCCCACAGCCCTAGCAGGCGGGCACACGAAGGGACACTGCCAGCTCTGTCACAGACCCTGGGCGCGGCGCCCAAGGCCGACCTGCGCCCCCAGAGTCACCCAATCCACAAAGCGCAAAGGCACGCCCCGCCAGCCCCAGTCCACCCCAGTCTTGAGTCTGCGCAGTGCGGCCACCGCCCGGTCCTTGCGAGCATGCTTTGCAAGCGTGTCCCGCTGCGGCGGCGCCCAGCACCCCGCCCCCCACAGCGCCAGCGGGGTGGGGCTTCTGGGTGTCTGTGTCCCCGCGGGCTGGGAACTGGGAGCGTCTCTCCTCTCGCCCTGTCCTTGGTAGTAGGCCCAAGCTGGGTTTAGGGCTAACAGAAGCTCCTGGATATGTACTGAAAGGTCGGGGCTCCACTCTGGATCTGTCGAATGAGGATTTCCAGGAGGCCCTCCTGGTATGTCTGTGTCCTACCAGGCACCCAGGAGACCCTGGTGGCCCAGTGCTAGATACTGTGGTTCTATAGGCTGTCCCCTTGCCTCCCACTTTGAAGACTGATGGAGAAGAGGAGAGGACTTTGGACTCCCTCCTGCTCCAAAATGATGATCGTTTAGGACCCAAAAGAAATTAGGCTGGTCAGCCATGATCTAAATGTATGTGTACCCCCGAAAAATAAATGTATTGAAATTTAACCCTCAAGTGATGGTATTAAGAGATGGGACCTTTGGGGTGATTAGGTCATAAAGGCAGAGCCTTTATATAAGATACCTGAGGAAGCTTGTTAGTCCCCCTTTTCCTGTTCCCTTGTGAGGGCACCGAGGGGGCACTGTCTATGGGCCCTTGCCAGACCCAGATCTCCTAGCGCCCTGACCGTGGATTTCCCAGCCTTCAGAACCAAAAGCAATGTATTTTTATTGTCTGTAAACTACTCAGTCTTTGGTAGAAACAGAAAACTGCTTACAAAGGCTCCGGCATAAATAGTCATTTTGCAAAACGATATTAAACAAACTAGAAGGAGCTAGGTGGTGGCTCAGTGGTAGCAAATGGGACCCTCATGAGAAAGGTCCTGGATTTGCATCCTGGGCCCTCCCTGAGCATGCCAGGAGCCCATGCCTGTGCCCATAGTCTGATCTGGCTGAGACTGGGAGTCGACTGCATGTGTGGGCACCATTGTGGGGTTGGGTTTGCTGGTCTCTCTCATTCATGGAATAAATAAATAAACTTGTTTAAAAATAGAAGAGCCAATCTGATGTGGACTCAAACCTAGATATCAGATAAAGCAATGTTTTTCGGGTATAGTGTGAAATTAGGCCTGAATAGGTCTCTCCACCTCACCCACCAGCTTCCTAATGTCACATGCATCTCAGGGATGAGAGCTGGTCAATGCAAAATACAGAGGATTACCACTAAGCACCAAACCCGTTGGGGACCAACCATTTCCCATCTCATAGACCAAGTAGTAAAACTGAGAACACTTATCACTAAGTGTGGGAGGCTGCACACCAGCGAATATCCCTGGTTTCTCAGAAAGCAAATAATAACACAATGCCAAAAGTCATGATTGGCTTCCCTTCAAAACCTCGCCTTCAAAACCATACTCTGATTGGTCACTAGAATCCCTCAGATTTGCATATCTGGCACCTCATGATTGGTCCACAAAGCAACCAATCATAACCCACCTTTTACAACCAATCATGACCCTCCCAACATGTATATAACCACGATCCCTGGCCCACAATCTCCAGATGACCCTGAAGAGCCTGAAGAGTTGTAACACCGCATTGTCTCCAGACAACCCTGAAGACCCCGAAGAGTTGTGACACCACGTCGTCTCTGGATGACCCTGAAGAGTTGTAACACTGTGTCGTCTCCGTGCTGCCCACAATAAATGGACGACCCTGACACTGCGTCGTCTCTGTGTTGTAACATTGCACTGCTCGTTCCGGCTCTCACTCCTTCCTTCTACTGTCCCCCAGGCCGGCTTTCCCTCAGGAAACCTGTTTGACTGTCCCTTGGGTCGAGACAACTAAGCGCCTATGCCGTTCTGCTAAGGTCCCGGTCGTAAAATGGCCATCTGCAATAAAGTAAAGATACTTTGTTCAGAGAGAGAAATAGATACTGGGGAGGTTAGCGATATGGATAGAATACCAGATAGTAGCAGCAAAGAGAAAAGAGGCCCCCGAGAAACCAGGGCAAAGGTTACTCAGGAAGAGGGGTTGTGGAAGTGAAGGAGTGGCAGGGAGGAGTGGAGATTGCTGGAAGAAGCAGCCTGCCCGCATTTCCGGAAGCAACAGCACAAGCAAGCAGACAGTGGCCAGGCAGCGCTCAAGTATTGAAATACAGACTGCAAAGCTACCAGCAGGCCTCTGGTTACTGGGGAGTCTTCCCTTCTACACTCCACTCCCCACCCCACCTCTCCTGTAGAGAAATACCCATAAAGGGGAAGGTTGAGATTCTGTATGGCAGTTGTTCTGGTCTCTGAAATGGCCATACAATCTTAGACATATTTCCCCTTGAGAGGTGGGCTGTGTGGTTCCTCTCCTTGGACTTGAGGAAGCTTGTAACTACATTAACAGAGTACAACAGAACTGACACTACTGGTTTTTTTGAGTCTAAGTCATAAAAGGACACGTCACTTCAGTCTTATTTACCAAGTGAGCTCTTGAAGCCCTAAGCTGCCACATAAAAAAGCCTGATTTTCCTGAGGTCATTTGTTATGAGGAGGCGCAGAGAGAGGCTACCTGTGGGAGCCCTAGCCAACAGCTCTGGCTGAACCCAGCCACTGGTGCCACACACGATCCTTCCAACCGGAGGTCCAGAAATCATGAAGAAAAGACAAGCCATCCCTTGATGTACCCCATCCAAGTTCCTGACCCACAGATCCTTTAGCTGCGTAAAATGGTTCTGGGCCAGCAGGTGACATGAAGTTTAAGGCACTGGATCCCCCATGGCCAACTGCACATTTCGAGTCCGGGATATGGCAGCTTAAAACTACACAGGCACCAGGCACAAGTGTGTGTGTGTGCCCACAATCCCAAGGGGGAGAAGGGGTTGTGGTGGGACTGTCCCCTCAGGGGATGATTTCTCACTTACTCTCTCTCTCTCTCTCTCTCTTTTTTTTTTTTTTTTTTTT